CCCCCCCGAATCATTTAAATATCAACCTGAAATGGGGACAGAATTCCTCTCCCTGGAAGTGACAGGTGTTTTCTTTGGGGGCAGTTATTTATAGCTGCGAAAGCGATCCTACGCGGGCCGCTTTTGTCTCCTCCCTCCCGCTTTCTCATTTCTCTAAAACTGAACATATTTTGGTTTTCCCAGTGGGAAAAACTACCAAATCAATGATTAAAATCTCTCCGCCCCCCCCTTTTCCTACCCTCTTCTGTCTTCCATTTTTTGGGGACAGGCTCCGGGTCCGTTCCCACGTTTGAATCCAAGAGTCATCACCAACTTTTGTGTCCCCTGAGCCAATAAACTACCTTCTCGGAGCCTCTCACCACCCTGAGGGCTGTGCTCCATCTCCCGCGTTCCTAATTACCAACTTACGGGGAGAACTGAATGAGATATTTCTGAGTCTGTGTCCACCTTCCGTCCCCCCAGTGCCATCCCAGCCAGACGGGGACAAGTGGCCGTGTCAGCGCCCCTCTTCTCCCTTCTCCTCCTCTCCTCTGCCCCAGGTTCTCCATCAGTCAAAGGGCCTCCTCCCAGCAGCTGCACAGACAGAATCTTGGTGGCCTCTTTGCTTTGTGTCCCCCCCCATCCAGTCTGTCACCAGTTCCCGTGGCTCCCTCCCTCAGCTCTCTCCATGCGACTTGCCTCTCTCGGACCCCACAACCCACCTCCCCCAAACCTCTCAGATTTCCCAGTGTCTCCATGATGCCAGGTGCGGAGCTGACCTCTGACCACTGTCCCCTCTCAGGAGGATCGCTGCAGCAGTGTCATTACTGGCTTCCTGTCTCCAGGCCGCCCCCCCACCCGCAGGACTTACTGTAATAGCTAAGGGATGGGGCAGCGGGCCCGTGCCTGCGGAGTCTGTTGCTAAGGAAACCACTTCCTTGGTTACTGGCCTGGGTAGCATTTGTCTCACTGTGTCTGGATCCCGCTGAGTCACCCCCCTCTCCGAGAGGGCGATGGGGTGGCGAGGGAGGGAGGGAAGGAGGGAGCGGGAGGCGGGCAGAGGGAGGGAGAGCTCAGGGGTCGAGAGAGAGCCAGCGAGGTGCCTGGGCCGGCAGAAGCAGAAACCCAGAAAGAGGCCACGACGGAATGAGGGGGGCATGAAAGAGCAGCTGGAGGAGATAAGCGAGACCCCAAAAAGGGAAACTGAGATGGAGGCCATGGGGAGAGGCACCGTGAGGAAGGGGGCGGCGTGGGGAGAGGACAAAGCAGCGCGAGAGAGAAGGGGGGAGAGGGAGGGAGGCTGGGCCTGGGGAGGAGATGGGTCCCCCAAGGA